TCGCGTTAGATGTTGCTAAATGATTGACGGCGACCAATCCCGTCGGCGATTGGGAAAATCGTTGCGTGTCCGAAGAACCGCGCGGCGGAACGAGGCGAATGCGAATCACGGATAAATGATTTTTAATTGCGCCGTGCATCGCGCCACCCTGGCGAGATATGGCTCTCTGTGTATGGACTACACCCATTCTGTTCCTAAGAAATTATTATAATTACGTGGCACCGAGAATAGTTATCAGAGAAGGGCGGTGGATCTTGGGCTGTTGGAGGGGGGAAATTAAGTCGAGGACGGAAACCTAGTTGTTGATTTGGATATCTGCATCGAGATGCTAGACGAGAGTTTAGCAACTCCGGATCTTTTACATTTGTAATAAAGATGAATGGAAGTGTAACACACTTATTAAAATTCTTCCCGAGTAAAATGAATCGCAACGCAACTCTCGCTGCTCCGCGATTACAATAAAAAGAACCTCGTCATTTGCCATAATCATCTTCCGCGATCGACGCATACCGACGATCATTTTCAGACATCCCCGTAATCCAACAATTCCTGTTCGAGTCCCTGCCGTATCGCGGCGGATCCAAACAAAATCCCTCTAAATAAATCATCAAAAGAGGTCTTATCTTGCATCATGTCGGATCAGCATGGTTCCAAGGGGAGCTTTCACCGAGGAAGAGAGAACCTTGCAATCTCGTCTCGAGAAAATTGCCCCAGGAACGAGCCCAGGCCGAAAACCATAAAAGAATCCCTATAATTTTGTTTCCCCGGCCGGCGATCGCGAATCCAATTGTCTCCGATCCGGCCGGCGAAATGAATCACTGTAACGAAGTGTTACTCACGCGGATTAGACAAAGGGACGGCCGGCATTGGGCAGAGAGTGGTTCGTCCGGGGTACAATCACCGCGTTAATCCGGATGTAACAGTGTATCCGGTAAAAAGAGATCCGTCAAGGAAGCGTGATTTTCTTGGGCCGCGGTCGATGTTCTCTCGCAAATAAAAGAAAAGAAAAGAAAAGAAAACGACGAGCACGTGAACAGGCCAAGAAAGGATGCGGCCTATATTCGCGAGATACGGCTGCGGGGCCGCGGACAAATGAGTTTCCGCGCCGGGAAAACCAACGGTTCGGAGGTGGTAGGCCTGGCCTGATAAGCATCGGCCGGCAGTTTAACGAGGGAGTCTAATCTGGGAATAATATCGAGCGCGCCGCTCTGTGTGATATCGTAAATACGACGACCGAGAGCCGGCCGGCCACGCTCCGCGGGGGAAAAAGGGAAAATACGAGAGCGCGGAGCGATTCGCGAGCAAGATGTTCCGCAACATCCGCGATTTCTGTCTGCCAGCGATTGCGCGAGCCTTGGTTCACGATGCTGCTAAATTGAGACTTGAATCGCGACGGAAACTCGGCGTACAATTCAAAGGTCCAATTTGAAGATCCAAATTGAAGGTCTAATTTGAATTAGCAGGGTGCTGTAAGAACGATCAGAACCAGGCGTACCCTAATTTGTGAGCCCCGACTTCTGCGGCCACCAATGGATTCTTGATGAATAGAGATTGCGAACGTTAATGACGAGGCATCCAGTCGATAAAATAAACGATTTCCTACATCCGGATTTTAAGGATCGAAATAACCGTGTCCTAACTGTGAACCGTGATTCAATGGCCGCCGCCACCGGGTCCCCGAAGAATAGACTGTGGGATTTTGATGCGTTTACGGAGCAGCCGAGGAAACGTGGACATTAATGACGAACACCATCCAATCAGTGAAATGAATCGTTTCTTTAATCTGTATTTCACAGATCTTAACTGTGCTCTAACTGTGATTCACGGCTGCTAATTGATCCTTGATGAATTAGACTGATGTGCCTTCCTCCTGCTTTTATGGCGAAACCATCAACGAGAACCATCTAGTCAACGAAATAAATTCTTTCCTCAATCTGTGTGCTTTAAATGGCTTCACACTTGACAAACTCTCGAGATAACTGTACCCTAATTGTGAGCCACCACCAAAGATCGAACGTTAATGCGTTTGTTGTCGTTTGGACTTTCGTCCAGAAAATGCGGACGATAACCCACGTTTCTCAACACGATCGATAATAAAAACGAATACTTTCTCGAAGATCGTTCGATGAAAATCGTAATTCCTGGTCGAAGTTCACTTGTGATTTCTCAAAGGAATCGAACTAGGTCGGTGTTCTGCAAGAAACCATCAACAAGAACCAACTAGTCAACGAAATAAATTCTTTCCTCAATCTGTGTGCTTTAAATGGCTTCACACTTGACAAACTCTCGAGATAACTGTACCCTAATTGTGAGCCACCACCAAAGATCGAACGTTAATGCGTTTGTTGTCGTTTGGACTTTCGTCCAGAAAATGCGGACGATAATCCACGTTTCTCAATATGATCGAAAAAAACGAATACTTTCTCGAAGATCGTTCGACGAAAATCGTAATCCCTGGTCGAAGTTCACTTGCGATTTTTCAAAGGACTCGAACTAGGCCGGTGTTCGGCAAGAATCGCTGTCGGACGGAGGCGCGTGCAGTTAGAGAAACACTTCCGCGAGGATCATCGCTTAATTCCACGACCGAGCGGTTAATTAAATGTCCGTGGAACGATGCACGATTGCCGCTCGTCCTACATACGAGGGACGGGACACGAAAAAATATATCGGTCGATGGAAAAGTTCCGGGGCGTTGTTTTCGTTCGGAAACACGGCCGGTCAATATTCTTCGATGGAAGAAAATGAACATTTAGGGCGTCGCCAATTACCTGCTCGATATTCTGCGTGCGGTTAGGGTGGTCGAAGGAAGTGAATGAAGGGCGTCGAATGGCCGCTGTTGTCGCGCAGAGGAATGGACGGAAGTGGAGGGCGATATTTATAGGACGAGAATAACAGATATCGGGTAGTAGAGAACGATCTATGGGGTGTTGTTCAACTCCGTCCACGGTGTATGTATGTACTTTCTTCTCTTGTAAATTACACCATGCCGCGCGGTGGCACGTTTTCCCAAAAAGTTGGCGGAGATGCGATTTTCGAGATAAAAGGTCGGCATTAATTTTCATCGATTCCCGAAAAATAATTGCCTAACAATTGTATCTGATGCGTCATCCGATAGCTTCGCTCTTCTTTCGTTGCGCGATTGTTCACTTACTCGCGAGTGATTCATTTGTTGGAAGCGTCGAGTTAACAGCGGGCGAACATGTTCAAACACGTATCGCTGTACGATCGAATCGTGAATCTTCACGATAAAGATGTTGAAATTATATGAAAAAAAGAAATACATCGAAACAACGAAAGATAAGTCACGAATTATGGCCAAAGGGTACCCTCTGTGCGCCTATTTGGAAACACCCTGTAGCAGCTATTGTCCTCCGCGAGCCAATGGACAAAGGGATACATTTTTTTTTCGTATTTTTAGAAAGCCGAGAAACGACACATGCCACACGACTGTCGGCCCACCTACGTCACGTGTGGGAGTGGATTTAACTATTCCCTGTGATTTCGAAAGCTTTATAAGCGGATTGCGAGTGTTTACAGAAATCGGCCCATGAAAACGCCACGTGATTATCTCGGTAACTATTCTTTCTGTAACTTCGTTTCTTTTAGTGCTGGAATCGGCGCTATTTATATCTAGACAAATAGATAATTTATGGTCTGATTGGCGAGAACTAAGTATAGCATAGATAACAAACAGTGGCTTTTTGCGAACAGAAAACGTTAACGGATAACGGGGAATTCCGAGCAACGGTGGCGGGGGGGTGACAATCATTGTTTTCTTTTTACGTTTACAAATAAATCGGTGATCTTTATGCGCAGTAAAAATTTTATACCTCTGCAGTTTATGAATAATAAAGATGGATGCAGTATTTGTCGTGGCTTCGAAAACGCAGGGAAATTAATTTTCGCAATAAAGATAGTGACCTAGTACCCTATCGTGCTCTAAAACAGCGGGTGTTCCACATGCTATGCCAATTGAATAAATTGACTTTACATTATCCTAATATCGGGACTATCATATTTCCAGTTCTAAATGATGGTACCCTGTTCTCGACTCTGGGTTAGTTGTCGCCTTATACTCACAAATTCGTTTTACATGGTCTTTATACTTATTTTCTCCACGATTCCAATTTCTATAACTCGTTTCATAATCTTTTCTGCTTAAACGAGTGTGCTGGATATATGCTAAGTTTACTGTAGAATCTAGAGTGTGCCCCGAAGTCTTACCCTACATACACGTACATACATACGTATGTACTACTACTGTATAACAGTCGCATCAATTGATTTCGCTATTATAAGAAACAGAGCCACCATTGATTTTTAATACGCTTTTTAATATCCTCCTCTTGTGCCGAGTTATAAAGATCCTAACTGCAGCATGATGCTTATTTTCGTTTAATATACACAGTGACTCCCATTAATATTCGGACTTTTTTTTTAGATGATGGAGCGACCAGTATACTATGACCGAGAGTTGTTTACTTTCTTTTGTCATTCGAAGCAATAGCAAAATTTGAAAAAAAGCACTCCAGTTATGGTCTAGTATCGCCTAAAAAACAAATCCAAGTCGTTCAGTCCTGTTTTAAAAAATGCTATTGTACTAAATTATGCTCCTCAAAATGTTCAATTTTTGTTAAAAAAATGTAACACGTAAAATGCAAAAACTTAAAACAATGAAATCTAAATACAATCTAAAACATAGTTACATCTAAAATATCTAAATATAGTTAAATAAAAATAAATAAAAATAAATAACTAAACATAGTTAAACATCTAAAATATAGTTACCTATGCGTAAAACGATAAAATACAAAGCCAAATAAAAATCACAAAATATGCGCAAACATAAAAAAATCGCGAGATCGTTAAAAAGAAGAAGGCCATCGTGAACTAAAAGTTAAAAAAAAAAGAGAAAAAAAAGTGATATCCAATGACCGACTTCCAATTGTTTACAGTAAACAGCGACCCCATGCTGGTCCCGGATGTTCAAAGTAACTCACGTTTGGAGCGCCAGCTTGATGTTGAAGGTGATGGTGGTGCCGGTGTCCACGTGAAATATGTACAGCATTTTGGGGCCGGTGTTGCTCCTTCGGTTGCGTGGACACGATTGAAACAGCCGGCCCGCCTCAAGGACCCGTCGAGCATCCGGCGTGACTTAGATGCTGCCAGGTACCGTCCCTGTTCGAGGACCCCTGGTCACCTCGGCTCGACTCCAGTATAGTCAGCTCGATCGCTGCCGTACCCCCCTTTTGTCAGCGCGGGCTGATACGTCCCCTTCGGGTCTCTTATGCCACATCGATCACGGCCACGGAACCGTTCCTCGTCGATTGACAGAAAGCTGAGGTACGGTTGTCGAGCCGTACGCACCACCCTTCCGCTCGATACAGTTCACAGGGATCGAATGATCCCGCGCGAACCCGCAGCGAACGGTCTAGACGAGGATCGGGAGAACGACTGTCTCCGTCTATAGACCCGGAGTAGTGCCTCCCAACACGCGCACTCCCTCTATCTATACACGCGCAGCTACGTCGGTGGCGAGTGATTGGCTCTCTCGGCTGCCCCCGCGGAAAGCCTATCCCAGGCGAAATGAACTCGACAGGACGTAAGCCGCGTCGGGACAGGGTCTCGACTCTCTGTGCGCTTCCCTCGGGAACTGCTCGTGCGTTGTATAGACGCACGAAAAGAAACAGTCTCGCGCAGTGGCGACGGTCGATCGTTATTTACAGGACGGCAGCGAAGAGTTCACCCGTACTGCTGCACGGGCGTCGATCAACGCACTCTCTCCCTTGGAAACAAGAACGGACAGGCTGCTGCTGCTGCTCCCCGTGAATTCGTCTCTCGAGCGCCACGATGTGAAACACTCTCGGCGAAATTGGGTTCGCTTGTCATCGAGCCGCGCTGTTGTCTCCCGTGTACATCGGTCGATCGCGCGTCTTCCGTTTTCCCGTAATGGTAACGGATCCTTCTTCTCTCGCCGCGCGCGAAGTCTCTCTCTCTTTCTCGACCCTTCGAAACGCCCTGTTCACGGGAACAGTAGACGGGTCTTCCGTCCGACACCGTTGCCTGACGGGACGCGAGAAACGATACGTAGTCGAGACGACGACGACGACGGCGGCGGCGATGGACAGGGCCCGACGCGGAACGAGTCTAGTCCCGGATCAGCTGCTCGCCAAAACAAAGCACTCGCGCGTACGCGAAAGGCCAGCGATCCTGCCTCGGTTGGCAGGGGACGTTCCGACTACGGGACGAAAATACGTGAGATACGTTTTACGTCGCCTATTCGAGGAGGATCCGTCGCGACCGGAATTCACGCTCGGCCAGGTAGGCAGAGAGCTCTCGTTCCCTATCCGGACCGAGAGAAGAGACACCCGTGTGTACGCCGAGAGTGACGTACCGACGACAACAAACAACGCTGCGCCACACGCACGGGAATCTATGCGCAGAGAGAACGTTTTCACGTAGGGGAACAAAGGAAACGACACTTTCGCCGCGTATTTTCTCGATCGCGAATACCCGTTTCCACGGATCTCGGCGCGGACGACGACGCTCGTTCCCTGCGGTGCCTCTCCCGACTTCTGTTCCCGACGGCTTCGACAACCACAGTGACCGACGAACAGACACTTTTTCTCGCAGCTCTTGCACCGTGCCTCTGGCAGCGAAGGTAGGGAGGGGGGGACGACGACTAGCTCGGCGCAGTCCCGTTCGACATTTTGCTCTGACGCATCGCGTCGCCAGCTGTTTACTGCCGATCTGGCCGAGCACGGAGAACAGAACGTCTGCTCGCCGTGCACTCCGTTTCCACAGATATTCCACTCGCCACTCAGCTGTTCGACCGCCACCGGAGCGCCATCTTTACCGACCAGCGAAGATGGCGCCTCCGACCGTTGCGGAAGTTCGAACGTCGGTGCGTCGCTCCGTTGATTTTCCATTTCATCAATCCGAACACGTTCGTTCCCTGAAAAATCTGCTAATCCGGACCAAGATATCTCGCTACCCGACACCGTTTCCTGTTACATTTCCCTACAGTACGGTGAATCTAATTTCCATAATCTTAAATATTATCACCACCTCTATCCACGCCGTGACCAGCAGGTCGTTCGAGTCGTACATGTATTTCTGTTTACCGTCGAGTCGACGCGAATGACCCATTCTCTGAAACACAGATATACCCAATACACTTATTCGATTCGAATGAAACAGTCGAATAATAACCCGCGTCACGGTCGTTGTCATTCGCGAATCATTAACAAGCAGAAAAAAAAGGTTGTCAATAAGGTTGCTATTAAGGTTAAAGATCCGTTTACAAGAGCGGGTTCGCTGAGATAAACGATTAGGGTAATTGAAAGAGCTCTAATGAAAATAATAGCGAGGCGATCGACCAGAAATGGCAACGCGCACGCGCACAGGGATAAACGACCCAGCGCCATTATCGCTTCCGTGTGGAGGCTCTTTGTGCTGGAAGTCGACTACGAAAGGGGAGAACGATGCAAATTTCCGAGCTGGCGGCGTGGGGCCGCGGCTACACGCGGTCTTGTTTGTTTATATGCCGTAACTGTGCTATCGCGGGTTGGCAGAAAGTTGTTGCGGCCCGACGGAGACGGGAGTTTTGATCGGTCGCTTTGATCGGTCGCGGCCCCGCGCGAGCCTCTCTCATGAATACGTGGCTTCGAGTCTAGGCAAATAATAAACACGGGCCCGGCTATACATAATGCTGCGCCTGAAAATAACTTGTATTCGCGTACGCCGCGCTCGCTCGTGCCGGAATCCGTCGGCGTTACACGCTCTTTAATGCGCTGTTCAATCGCGGAATTAATGCCCGGACATCTTTAGGAAACGAGCAACCGCCCCCGACGTGACTGCGTCGCAGTATACAAATGTTGCACGCGTAACAACTGCGCCACCGCACTTCGACCAATATATTTCGACTATTATTTTCGGTTACAGCCTTTACTTATCGGTTTTATATGACGCTTAGTACCTTCGGCCACCGAAAGTAAGATAATACATATTAATACATATTATATAATATAATATAATATAATATAATATAATATAATAATATAATATATATATATATATATATATATATTTCGGCTATTATTTCGGTTATACAGCCTTTACTTATCGACTTTAACCGACGCTTAGTACCTTCGGCCACCGAAAGTAAGGTAATACATATTAATACATGTTATATTATATTATATAATAATATATATAATATAATATAATATAATAATATAATATATAACATATTAATACATATTAAGATAATACATATTAAAATATCCGCGTCGAGTAGAATTTGCAGTAGTTATCGCGCGTCGTGATTCGAGATAACTTGCGCATTTTATAGCCGGGACTAGCCCGGACTACTCGTTCATAATCGAGGCAATTAATGCGACTCTGATCGATGTCCGTGACACTTAACTGCACAACCGTGGGCATCGAACAGCATTTAAAGAAGTCGAAACGGAAACCGTACGCAGGGCAACGCGAGATTGATATCCGAGTTACGTAACGAAGCAGAAACGAATTCGACCAGCGATCTTTCAGGGCCGTTCGCCCAAGCTCTTCCTAACGTTTCGTAATCGCTGTTTCGAGATAAACCTACCGGTCCAACAAAAAACAAAACCGTACGATATTCCTTCGCGCTGTTCAACGAACTCTCGTCGCAGCCCACGCTGAAATCCAGGCGTAAAAAGCCGACCTTTATGGCTTCTACAAAAAAGAAAAAAGGCCCGATAAAGAACGCACTGTAATCATCTTAAAGGTCTGTGCGAGTCGCGTTACACGAAAAAAAAAGAGAAAGAAGAAGAAGAAGAACGATTTCGATCGACGACGGAATAATTCACGGTGATCGCGTTAGGCGGTTCACCCTGTACATCCACAGTCTATATCCTTTCTAGCGGCGCGCTGCATGTATGTATGTATGTATGTATAGCACGCTGTGAAACGTTCACCTTTCGATCGGAGTCTCGAAAGTGCTATAGGGTCCGGGGCAGCGGCGCGGCGTCGTCGTCGTCGTTGTTACCTACCATCGTGATCGTCGTTCCTCTCGCGCGTGTTCGAGCGGACACGCGCGGGGAACCAGCGCGACGCACAGGCCCGTGGCCCGCGGTTCACGCTCGGCTCGCTGAATTTTAATTCTGTCGCCTCTAGCGGAGTCTAGTGTCAACGTGTGACCAGGAAAACTCTACTGCGCCGCGGACTCCGACATTAACTCGCCCCGGGACCGACGCAGTAGAGACGATCTTGAGCCGCGCGTGTGCGCGTATATAGGTGCGTCGCGGCACGTGGCATACGATAACGACACGATCGTACACGGCCGTCGTCGGCCGGGGTACAGCCGACTTTCAGGAAATCGGCGCTTTATTGCCGACTTCGGAAGCCGCGCGTTCCTCTTTAACACGTTGAATGCCACGGGGGTCACCGGTGACCGGCACTTAACTTGGCGGTGACGCCATGGGGGCCACCCCGGTGACCGGCGCGCCCAAATTGATAGAAATATATATAATTTCAAACAAATGTGTCAATATCTAAAATTTTGTATTATTACCATTGCCGATTCAAACAGTGACCCCTGACGCAATTAACATGTCAAACATGATTGTACACTGTAACATATCTATTGCAGATAATATTTCAACATTATATGTATCGCATAAAAGAAAATTCATCGTGGCACCATGGGCAATTTCTGTAAAACCGGCGTGGCATTCAACGTGTTAAGAAACTGTTTTTGGGAATATTCATGGCGCACAGCTGCCGTCGTTAAGAAGCTGTCGCGCTCCGGAAACTTTTGTTTATCAACCACATCGGTCGAACTGTACGATTAGCGTTTTATTACGTTACGGTCGTGTAACGTGTAACCGCTGACGACGCTAGATAAACAGAACGCGTACTTTAATCGGGAAAGAAGATTTCTGCTAAGTCGAGAAATTTCCTTCTTTTTCGTTGAACTTGTGATGTAATTATCAATAATGTTACACAAATCGACGCGTTGTCGGACGCTATAATGGATACACGACACTGTTACAGCGTTTTACAACTTAAAGGGGGCCTAGTCTAACAGCTATGATAGTTCGATTTCTTTCTACTTCGATTTTTTATCGATTCATTTGTAGTACATTCATTCAACGCAAACACATTTTTTTCAGGCACTATTGAGAGAGAATTATTAGATAAATTTTAATTGATCCCGATGCAAACAGCTAAACAATAATTATCTCCAATAAACCTAAAATATTAACGAAAAGAGATAAATCTTTCTTATTTATTGCGACAACGAAGCACATGGATTATCTTCCAATCTACACCTCAAATAATGGATCTCTAAATGTTTATGTATAAATGTTTCTATCGCATATTGTTACAGAAGAAAATTATAACCTGTTCCCTGAATTCCAGACATGTTATGCAAAAAATTCGAAGAAGTATCGCTTTGCGGTTTCTTGGGAGAAAAATCACAAAGGTCTCCGTATTTTTAGCGTTCTAAACCAAGCTCCCCGCACAAAGGACCAACAAAGCTTAAGAGGAAGTAGACACGAGGTTGAAAATACATATCGGAAAGCGTAGCGCGGAGTAGGGGCAACCGTTTCCGACATGATAAAAATGAGTTGACTACATCCCCCACCACCGCTCCAGCAGACACGTGGTAGTCGTAACGAACATTTTGCGCAACCGGCCGCGCAATTTCTTTCCGCGTTCGAGCATTGTCAACGATGAGCACAATCTTCTGCGTTTCGATATCCTAAGCGATTAACGGTCTCCGTGATTAGTCACGCGCGTGGCATCTCGTTTACGACGCCCTTGCGGTTTTTGATAAAAAGGTGACGCGCACCGAGCCACGCGTCATCTTCGGCTTAATTAGTAGATATCGGTCAGTCGACGTTCGTCTTTGAAAGTGTTTCTCCTTGTCGCGCGCAGCGTGCACGTTTCGATAGTTGCACCGATAGCAGAGGGTCACGTCGATGCACGTACATATTCGGTGACGTGGTCAAAACAGTTGCGCCGATAAGTTGGTTACCGCGATCACAGCTGCGAAAGAAAGGCATTGACATTGGGAACACGTCGCGACTAATGACGCGGGGAGGAACGAGACGATTTTCCAGACTCTTCTGGAATTAATTGACCGCCGCCGTCGAGATTTATAAGCCTCGCACGAGATTTGCATCGGCGAGCTTTGCGCAGTCTTTATCGCCTGAATTAATGGACAACGTTCTTGCGGTGCGAACGGCGCGGTGAACGTACATGTCTCGCTAGGTCTAGCCTTTCGAAATCAAAATACAGAAACTTTTTACTACTTTCTAAAACTCATATTTATTGCGATAGAGCAAATGAAATCGTACCAGGTCGTTTACAGTACAAAATTTATCATAGCGATGACACAGTCCAAGTGTTTGCATTTAAATTGATATAATTCCGTAAAATAAATAATCATACAGCCGCATCAACGTAGACCGATTTTAAAACTTGAAGTCTTTAATATCGCAATCCGTCGTTCATTTTTTCCTAGCATGCTTTTACATAACAATATCAGACGGAAAACTGCAGACGCGTTCGCTCGAAAATACTACAAATTGAAACGTCTCCGGAAACATTGAAACATTTTTTTGGGCAACGAATCTGGCATGGAATCGAAGATTGAAGCTTCCTCTTTACAACGACTCCTCAAAATTTGGTGTACGATTTTTTTTAGTTGTTTTATGGAACAGAAACGAGGAACGTGTTCTTGTATTACTGTAAAGTAGATATTTCGTTGAAAGCTCAATAAAGCGACTGAAAAAAATCGTACATCAAAGTTCGAATG